GTGTGTGTGTGTGTGTGTGTGTGTGTGTGTGTGTGTGTGAGATCATGTATATATTACATCATGGGGACCAAATTTTCCCACAATGTGATAAGAACATTTTTTTCAGCCTCCACAACTGGAATCTCAATGTTATGAAAAATTGTGTGTTTGTGTGTGTATGTGTGTGTGTGTGCGGTGCTTGTGTGTGTGTGTGCGTGAGCGACAATATGTCCACGGCTGATTCAAACTGTGACGGAACCCTCTCTAGCCACTCATTCCTGCCGTCATCTCCTTTCAAAGTCTCAATTCAAGCGACAGGGAGTTGACGTGTGTACATCACCATGGCGACCGTGCCAAATATCCCTAACGAGCTGCCCTTTGTTACCCAACTGTGTGGAGCGCAGAAGCCATTTGTACAGCGGTAAGCCATTTGTTGCAGCTCTAGAGAGCTTCCTTTGCCAGGCAGTCAACGTCAAGTACTGACAACGTCACGGAAAGATGTGACTTGGGCAGTGACAGTGACGCACAAAGACTGTGCTGTCTGCTACAGTGCTACACTGTATGTTTATTTATACTCTGAGATCCATTATCAAATACTGCATTGCGTGGTACCACACTATTTTGACTAATTATGGTCACAATTTTCTTTTTACAGCCATAATTAAACATGATGTTTCCATGTAAGGTCAGTGGAGATGGATGGCGGACAGTAGATCAGCACCAAACTTAAGCACAGAGTCTTACTGTGTGGTTCAGTCACTCATTACCGCTATGGAAGTAAAACAATGGCCCAGCACTAATTTATGCCACATAATTAACACCAAGGCTCTGAATGTTCTTCAGGTGTTTTTCTCCAATGTAAGTCATTCAGATTTGGTGGAAAATCTAATAGACTCCACACAGCATATAGATTGGCAACACAGCATATCTATGAATGGGCAGATACACAGTTCTCCTCTTTACACTGTCGGAAGTGCTATTCTAGTGCGTTTTGGCTGTCAGAGGATCATTGTTCACTCACCTTCCCAAAGCTTCCCTTCCCAATGGCTCTGAGAATCTGGAAGTGGTCAAAGTTAACTGGAAGAAAATGAAAGGCATTCAAAGTTAATTTTAATATATATAATACATTCCACGTCAAGATGAGATTTTTATACAACAAAATAAATGACTCAAAAATTTTGGGCGGCAGGAAAAGCCATTAAGGAACAAGAACGGTAATCAAAGACTTTAGGGGAATCACTGCTAGCTATATGGTTTGATCAAAGGGCAGCTGTAGAAGTGGGTTATACTGCAAGATAAGCACACTGATATAAAAATACAGAAAAACCATCAGGCTGAAAGTGATGCATTTGCTTCTGAACTGACGATCGCAATAATCTCCAATGAATTTTAATTGGTTGAATGTTTACCCTGTAATTATGCAGACAGGCATTAATACTGTAATGTGAAACATTACAGGACTACGTGACAGGGCACTGCCAGCTCTATTAACTGTAGAACAATGAGCAAAGATGGGTCGAATTATATCTAGGTTTGAAAGTATGAGAACCATATTTTCAAAGGCTTTCAGCATCACAGAAATTAATAATACGCACCCAACCCGACCAAGAATATGCCTCGAACATTTCAAATACATAGTCGCATGCGGGGTTCAGAGGTTTAGACTGCCTGCGCCAAGGAAATGTTACCCTGGTGACCTAAATGCTAAGCACTACTGACCAAAATGATGAGATTCATTCATGTGCACTCATGAGGTAAGGATGAGGAAAAGGATCACATGACATGGCATGACATAGAACGAGGGGTTCTCTCACCCCCTTCTGAAGTGGAGGAGCAATTGTTTATTTTTTATCTGACTATAGGCATATAGACATGTAATAGGTAAGAAAGAGTAGATCAGACTTGTATACAGGGATGTTTGAGGTGTGTGTCTGTTTATGTCATTAGTGTGCTGGGCAGATGCGAAGCTATAGAGGCCACTACATGCATCCTCACTTCTGCGAGTCACTTCTGGCCCTGAAGGGGCCAGAACAACCCAAATGACAAAGTCGACTGCCTCACCTGACATCAAGCGAGCGACAAACCACTGATCTGGCACTGGCGTGGGATGAAGTGAGCTGCGCAGCCTCCCCCAGTAATAAAAAGGTAAAGAGGAAATGAGACCGGGAGAAGCTCACTCCCCAACGGAGCTGCTGTTTTTCTTACCACTTTAGATGTTCCGCCCCCCCCCCCCCCCCCCCCCCCCCCCC